TATTGTACCTGTATAATGATTTTGCCCTGAATAATTTAGTGGCATTACAATATAAATATATTTTTCATTCATCGAATAATAGGTATATTTAAAAAATTACATCCAAATCTTGTAAAAAATCATCACGGTCAATATATCGAAATAAATAATTTTAAAACTATTTATGTGTGTAATAAGCAATGCTTCTCTAAACGAATTGTTAATCCCAAACAAGTCTACATAATAAACATATTCGTATGAGATATGAATATTATTATTATACTGTCATTTCAAACACCATATTCAAACCATGGTTAAATAAAATTCATTGACTAAAACTAAATTCTATATACAGTGCATAGAATGGAAATTATATCTAAATTTAAGAATACATTACATTACTAAGAAATTTGACAAAAATTATATGCAGTTAGGTCTACATAATGTTGAAAATTTCAAATTATTACCATTAATATAACTTTATGATGTACTGTCTAAACAAATTATAGTTTTAAAAATACGGTTATATATTTGTTTAATGTTAATTTCATTCATATTTTAATCATGTTTTGATTGGAAAATTCATTTTGCAAGTCGTTTTAAATACTGATTATTTATTTTGTTTAAATTGTTTGACCAATGAATCTGTTAATATAAATACTATGAAATTTATACTCTTATGTAAATTGAGTCGAAAAACTATATAAATAATATGAATGATTGTGTATTTTATGTAAATTATGCTTAAAAATTGTTAACACATAGAGCTGCGTTTCAAAACAATCAAATACTAAATATATATAAATTGTATTTGTTATGTAATAATATCAATGTTGTCGTGTAGTAGCCTTTTATCAACTTTTAGTTTTAATTAATGTATTGATTTTATCCAAAAATGACTGAATAGTAAATTGTTGTTAGATTCACGTCTAACACATTAACTCAGTAATAGTCGGCTGAACAGGGATTGTCTCATAGAGTGTGTAATCAGTAATTAGTAACCAGATATGGATTATTAGTTATCACTCCTTGGATCAAAGTTTGAGTTTTTAAGCAATAATTTAATTTTTAACTAAAATTGTTTCCCTTTAAAACCATGTTGTGCTAAATATTGACAAAATTGTTAGGGCATGTATTCCCATACACTATTGTATCACTTATTTATTCATTTAAAATTACAATAAACTACAAATCATTCATTAAACTATGTTTACAAACTTAATTAATTAATTTTTAAGTATATTATATTATTCTACGTTTAAATTAACTTATTTTACTTTTATTATAAATTTTTATACTGATAATAATTATTTTCTATTAAGTTACTTTGCAATAGAAAATTTATCTCGTTATACTAGTACTTATAATTACTAATTACTAATTATTTAATAATGTTGTTATAAAAAACGTTTAAATAACAAACATTAATTTAAAATCATAGAAATATTACTCTAAATCATAAAATTAGATATAAATTGCTATACAAATAGACACACTGTTAAGACAAATATTAAATAAGTTATTTAAATAGTTATATTTCTTTGAAATTGACGACTTTATTATAAAATAATAGTTAACTTTATCGGAAAACAATACTCTATATCGTGTGTCTTACAGTATATAAGTTGTGATGAGCGCACATGTATGGGGGACAGGTATATACTAACAAATAGGAGACTATTGAATTTACGTAATTCCCTATTTTAGATGTTTTCCACTTTCTCGGTGTATGTCTCAAACGAATCTATTCTGTAGTCATTGGTAACTATTCCCTACAAAACATCAAAACTTTCATTCATATACTGTTTGAGAGAATATCTTTTGATATTATTTGTTGATATCTGTGACCAGAAAAAAATACTTGTTTATATAAACAACAATTGAAATTGTTTTTTGAACTATTTTAAACCGATTCTGGAATAACTATTTAATATTAAATACTATTAATCCAATTAAACGCTGAAATTTGAAATTTTAAGTTCAAAATCATACATATTTTTAACAAACGCTAGAATTAATTCATTTATTTGAAGTGAGTTTTAGTACTTTCTTTCTAATGATCTTATTTTTATGGCAAAATTGCATTGTTTTTAATTTGTCGATTATTTTATTTATTGATTTTCTGTTTTGAGAATAATTCTGATATATTTGCTGTGAATTATGAGATAATACGCGACGGACTACAGGTGTTTGGGTATACAGAGTATTATGAATATTTCAATAGCAAGACATAGTACTCGCAATGCATTTCTAATGGGAAACGAGAATTTAATTCTAATATTTCTATAACTATTGATTGCAATCGAGGGGTTGACGCAAACGGCAGTGTGTTTGTTATGATTGTACGGGTATTGTAGGCGAATGTGTGCAGAGAAATACAGAGAGACACTAAAGTGTACTTCAATTTCCGAAATACGTGATTAAGAGATGTTTTTGTGAACAGTATTTTACATCATTTTATAGCGAATAAGCATAACATTGACGAGAGTCTCAAAAACTGAAATTACAAAACACGAGATAATTATACGGATCGCGAAGCTCTCTCTCTCTCTCTCTCTCTCTCTCTCTCGTCTCCCATCTCTCGCTATGTTTGTGCTCTTGTGTTGAGACCAACAAAATATAAGATGAGATGAGATGTGAAGAGTGCAGGAGAGAGAGGACGTGAACCAACGACTGTAAGCCTAATCAGTTGTGCAAACTCTATGTGCGCTCTGTGTTTGTCTGGCCTCAGATCAGACACTGATCACTGGGATGAGAGGCTATGCCTAACACACACACACACGACAGCAATGAATGAAAACACTGGTACTTTAGTAATAGGCTGAGGCCTCCCTTCCCCCGCACTCCTTGTTAACGCCAAACACGAAAAAGACTTGATTTCGGAACAGATCTCAAACTCACAAAACCTTAACTACAAGAGTAAAGAGGATTTTCGCTGAGAAGATCCGCTCTTTTCATTGTCGTTGTTGTTATGCTCTCTACTTATGAGCCCTTAGTTTAAATTTTGCCATCAGTTTATCAAATGAATACAATCACTAAAACAGATATCCCCTATAAATAATATAAACAATAATCTATTATATCAGAGATCGGGATAATCTGTTTGTCGAGTAAAACTATATTCACTCGTTTTTTACTCAAATCACTTTCGACAGTGTTTTGTCATTCATTTATTATTCATAAATTTTTAGTAAATAATGAATTTAGTGTCTCATGATATTAAATGTTTAGCAAATTGTGTTTAGAGAATATAGTTATAAAGTTCAAGAATTTTAGCAGAATTTTCTAAGTATTATGTGAAACTAAATATATAGTATTTGTTATCAAAGTATTTATGAGCGGAAAATAGACACAAGAAATGGACACAAGAATGGGTAGCAATAAAATTGATGACATGATAGGGGCGGTCATGAGTTTCGCCATCGAAATGTTTAAATTATTCCTAAGACTCAAACCATGAGATAATAAGTCTGAGCGCCTAATAAACGGACAGTACTTTTCCAAAAGACTAATTGTTGTTAATCTCCTCTGAATAATGATTTGCCATTCATTTCAATCAATTTTATTATAGTTGACTCATTCAATAGACTTTTCGTATAGTAATTGAATGCATGAATGGCATAATATTTACTTTAATTTTTTTCTGGTAAGCGTACAAATTCTAGGCATAAATTCAAGAGATTAAAAAAATATTAATTAATTTCTGTTCATTAGTTAAAAACTTGAAACAACACTAGATATATTGATTAATTGAATCCAATTAAAACTTTAAAACTTTTAAATTAGTCATTATTTCCCCCGAAAACATACTTCTTATGGATTACAGCAATTTTGTTGTCAGAAAAAGTGAAACAAAAATATAATGATTGCCATAAAAAGAAATGATAGAATTGAAGATAAAATGGTGAAAATGATTGGCAATTGTATTGTGAGGATCTGATCCACACATGTATTGCGCATACATTGCATTGAGTACTGCATTGCGTTTCTGTACTTCAAGAATATATAGAGAATAGTATTAACAGAATAGTAGTGAGAGAGTGAAGAGTATTACTCATGAGTGGGATTCGATTGGAAAGGAGAGAGAGAGAGAGAGAGAGTTGGTTTGATTTTTGGGATGTGATGAGCATTTGGCCCGAAGTCAGTGGCAAACGAGTCGATAGAGTAGAGCGGAGTATACGTTCATTAGTCGCCAAATGCCTTTGGGATCAACGGCTGACGCAAAGCAAAACTTCGTTAAGTTTTAGACCAATGAGGAGTCGCCGAAACGAAGACATGACTTGAAAACTTGAACCCAAAATAAAATTGATTTAAAAATGAAAATATTATATAATTCTTTCGGGGCCCCAAACGGCATATATAATCTATATAACTATATACAGTACGGCTCACACATTTGAAACATTAATAATTGAATTTGAAAACATTTACTTTAATTTTGCATAAAAATAATTACTGTACACAACTATATTGACAATCGCTGTACTCTTTTAGGTCAATATCATCGCTGATTGTGTGGTGGCATCGGATAGCGGGTAATGACAGCGAATACAGCGCAGCCATGGATTCAGGTATATATCGATAAGCAATGAAAATACACTCCAGGGATGTATAGAATTGTTCAGAATTTGCTGAACAAACAGATTTGTGTAAGAATTTTATGACCGCTCTTCTCATTCAATGTGCGATAACTAACTTCATGCGAATGTTGTTCCCACTGAGACTCCCTGTCCCCTCGATTGCAAGCTATAAAACAATATGTGAGACACATAATTGTGTGATTCGCACAAAAATACACATTCAATGAATACACTGAAGGCATCCAATTCTTTGCGAGAATCCTATTTATGAATATTCATTAAATTCTGTCATATTCTGTATTTGTATTTAATCCCAAACTCTATTATAAAAGTAAACACCATTTTCATTACATTTTGTTTCAATGAATTCAATTTTAAATAACAAATAAAAGTTCATTCTGAGCTAATTAGGCACTCGCAGGAGGACAGGCTGTCAATGTCATGGTATGCTCTTCAGAGTAAACACTGAAAATCCTTTACCCAAACAATGGTGTTATTCCCGTTATATACGACAATATTTTGCGATGATTTGTGAAAACCAATTGATTGGTCGGTCAATGAAATGAGAGGAACGACAGTTTGTTTGGAGACCTAAACGTGATTAGAGGCCTAATTGGAGAGCGGAAATGGAGGTCTCATAGAGTGTAGGCGCTCGTTAGGCATTGTATTTATAGCGCGGGATTGGATATAAGGATATAAGCAGTGAATTTATATTATATTTCTGCAAACTGTGTGCAATTCTGTGCCTAAAAACTACTGTTGTGTGTGAAATGAGAGGCACTTTTATTACCAGTAAAGGGAAATAATAGTGTGCTTTGAAATTGCCTTAAAATAATCGATTTCGCTTAGAGGGGATCAGGTGGTTATGACGCACAGGCGGCTTACGGCGGGACTCCCGACTGTAGAGCAAACCTGATGTACGAGTAGTGTCGAGTTGGACCGCCGACTGCGAACAATATACGAGAATTTTTTCGCCAAAAACCGTTTATTCTCGTTATCTCATCGCCAAAAATACTGACCGATATATAAACAGATATATACCGAGCATTCACATCCAACTGATGCCACCGTTTCTATTAAATTTGCTCTCAGTTTGCCTACGCTTTCCCAATACATGTCTCTCTCTCTCTCTCTCTCTCTCTCTCTCTCCCCCAATGTTCACTGTTTTGTTACGTACTGTGAACGAGACATGAGTTGTTGTTTGCCGAGTAATACAGTAAAGAGGCTTTAGAGGCAAATAAACTATTACTGCATTCAAAGGTATGGCTGGAGATATTGAAAACATTGTAGTCTCCCTTCGTTGTAGAGCACAGTATTGTTGAGCACAAAAAACTAAGCCATAAAAATAAAGTAAAACAAACTCAAACCCAATTTCTTTATTCTTTAATATAATAAACAGTTATATTGTATACGAAACTTATGTCTCCAATACTGTCGTAGTAATAGATACAAAAAAAGTTTGCGTTGCATTCATCCTTGAGATCAGACATATAACATATATACTGTAATAGCATAACGAGTATTACATATAAACTACTCTATTGTTGAATGCATTGAATCTCACTTTTTTGTGGTTAATGTTCATTGAGTTGTGTGGGAATAGTGTGGACCGGGAGGTCATAATGAGCTAATGAAGCGGCGATGTATTGATGCGGCGAATGGTCTGACGCTTACGAGCGACTCATGCATTGGTGAACACAAACACAAATTCCTGGCATCTCTTTGAACGCCTAAACCCTAAAACCCGAGCGCTTCGCCGCTCACTATATGCAGCCGTAGAGTAGAGCTGATTGAGAGGAATGAGAGACAGGATTGCGAGGGAACGGGAGAGAGAGAGAGAGACAAAGCTCTTCCTAATCAAATCATTGCAGTTGAGTTGGCTCAAGGGTGTCTCAGTTTATTTGACAACTTAATTCCAAATAAATTGAGCAAAAGATCATATATTTTGACGAAACCCATTGCGTTAAACATATGAACACAAGAGTTTATTTTGTGTTAAAAATTCCTGAAAAATGCCAATAAATAGAGAATATATTCGTTTACGAAAAAAGATCCGATTCCTTAAATGCTATGCCATTATTCAGTGGCATATCATTGTGTGTATATATAATGAGCTGTCATTTGACATCTCTGTAAACATCTCTGCCATACATACGGAGGAGTGTACGCTATTAGAGAGTACGTGTCATTACATACAAGACCTTTATTTTGCGTAGGATTTACCGAAAGTGCCGGTTCCTGATTTGCATAAAACACTGGAGCGATACTTGTCTGGATTAAAGCCCGTCATTCCTGTGGCCCAATTTGAACAAACAAAACGTACTGTCGATCAGTTCCTGCAGCCCAATGGTGAGGGAGAGAGACTACAGGCGCTCCTCCAGCAACACGCCGAGCGCACCGACAACTGGGTATGCCTTGTATGCCTTTCCCCCCTTTTCTCTATAAACTAAATGTTATGTTTAACTGGTTTTTCAACCATCAAAGAGACGATCATTTCAATACTAATGAATTGAATAAATTTAACATTTAGTTCGACAATAAAAAAAGAAAACTGTTTTCCAAATGTCAACACTTTTTAATCAATTTTATTTGAAATAATTTTTGGTACTAGAAATTTATTTAAAAATTTATTCATCATACTGTACAAAAGTAGGCATCTCTCTCTCTCACTAAACATACAATACATACAAACATAGAAATATTTGTACGAATGAAATGTTTATAAAGTTTTTGAACCTATAGTTCCCGTGAGGTCTAGAGTTGGTCTGTAGTGTGTAGTGAGAGTGGGATTCATATCATCTTATTGTCGATTATTCTTAATCTTATTTTTATTTTCAGATTATTTAGAACAGGGAGTCATTTATATTAGTAGCCATTAAAGGCGATGGAGTACTCTTTTGCACTTTACAATCGCCCAGCACTTCACTACACAATTGCTTTCCGTGTGTCTCTGTGTGTGTATTGTATGTGCAATACATATAGAGCACAGGCATGTGATGGGGAGCAGGTGTCTTGTGTCTGTGTGCTGTGCCTATGAGTGTAGTATTTGTGTCCCTCTTATCCAATATGCGATCATTGGTTCAGTGCTATCATTGCCTATCATTTCGCTCGCAATTGTGTCATACAATGAAGAGCCGGGGATTAAAGGGAGACTACACACAGCCTCTCGAGTCCGTACACACACTTCGATCCGATCACTAATACATACAAAATAGCTTCTGATTACATTGGGCTCCGGCATCAAAGCTGAGGCACATATATACACGGCATAGACTATAACCCAATGCCACACTCTAAACGCTATCCCCAACTCGTGTGCCCCTCACAGCTAATTCTCTCAGCACTAAAACACGGCTTAAATATCGAAACATTTAAATATTTTTTTTGGGGGTTTATTATACTTATGAAAGAATTTTTTTGAATGATATCGTTTAGGTTGAGCTAAACATTTAGTACTCAATTATTTGTGATGCCTTTCCTATTAGGAGAACTTCCACTCGCGCAGTCATTATTGAATTCATGTATTATTTAAATATCTATTCATAATTGATGAGATGTGTTGTCTAAAGTGTTGTACAATCGGTTTAAATCAATAGTAATTTTTTATTAACTTTCAGAGGGTTTTAAATCAAAATAAGTGAACTCGTTTTTATACAGTATTCTCATTAAATATGTTTTTAAAAATAAATATAAATATAAAGCAAAAGAACGTGATTTTAAACTCATTTAGTAAAAAAGTGAGACCAAAAACATCCTATATATTGAAACAAATTTTAATAAATTTCTAGTCTTTTCTGAGCTTACTTTCCTTAATTAATTATATAAAGTTTGCATTTATAGTGAAATTAGTTTTATATAATGCTTTTTAAATAGTCAAAACAAAATTTTAATTATTAGATTTAGAAATAATAAATAGTGCTTTTTATTTGACATTTTTTTGACAAAATATTTATTTACCAGTTACAATTTATTAGTATAAAAGATTAGATTAATTCAAAATTAATTGGAAGATTTGAAATATTCTTTTATACATTTTACTTTATTTTATTATTTTAAGCAATAACATTTTTTATGAATACATGAATAATTGTTAAAGATTATTTTTTAGATAAACTAATCCATAAGTTTTACAATAGGAATTGTTTAATTTAATTCTTGATATTTTATAAGAATTTAATCTTTGTTGAAAATGAAATAAAGTTTATTATTAGAATAGGATGTAAGTATTATTAATTATTTTGTACTTTCTCAATACTACACTTTTTTAAGGACAATTTATTTCATGAAATACTAAATAAAATGTCAAAAGTCTTTATTAAAATATAGTGACGCCTTTTTTGGTAATAATTATTGATATTATTTGTATTCTCATTGATTTACTATTTTTATTTTTCATTAATTTGTTGTCCTATTTTCGATTAGTCGAGAATATACTGTATATATATCTTATTATTGGAGAAATCCTTAAGTTATTGTTAGTATAGTTTGGATTATAAAAGAAAAAGAGAAAAATCATTGATGTGTGGGAACCGTAGGCTAGAGATACATCTGCTGATGAAACACAGTATTTCACGTAAAGAATAACAAAAGCGATCGACAATTCTTGACATGAATTTATTTATTTCCCTATTTTTAATTATTTTTGCCCATTATAATATTTCTTAAGGTAATTACTGTATACTAGAATTTTATAAATTATCATATTCTAAAAGTTAAAGTTAATATTGAAATTGTAATATCAAACAATTATCAAATGCAATACCTTAATTAAAAATATGAATTAATAACTAGTGATTATGATATTCATGCATTATTATTATTTATTAGATAATAAAAATATTTACATTGCCATTAATGGCATAGCTTATATTTTCCAAATTAATTTTAAATTCTTAAAAATCAATTTTGAATATATACCAAAATACAAAATAGATTATCTAGTCAGTTTAAGATTTAACGAGGATATTCACCTGCTACAATTTTGATAATTTAATATATAAATTCATTTTTTAAAGTTTACAAATATTATTTGGTTTTATTTCATAAACTACTGTATACCGGTATTATTATATAAGCTAGAAAATATATTAAATTTGATTTGCAAACTGGTAATTCCAACAGATAACCCCATTATGGTTGGACGACATGTATCTACTGAATGCGTTGCCACTGCCCATCAACTCGAGTCCATTCTATCTGTTCCCTCGACAACAGTTCAAGACATCAACGGAACAGTTAAGACTCGCCGCAGAGATCATACAATTCACGTATGAGTTCAAGACTCAAATTGAAAAGTTTGTTGCATTTTATAATTAGATCATATTTTTTACGGTTTTCATTATAACTAAGTTACGTGTAATTGAATCCCGAATATCGTAGTGAAAGCTTAACGCAAGACTATGGCTCCGGTCAGGGAAAGGGACAGCCGTTATGTATGCAGACGTATAGAAACTTTTTCACTACTTATAGACAGCCGGGAGAAGAAAAAGACGAGATTTTATTGATTAATGAGAACCGAGAAGATAACGAACACATTGTGATTGCCTCCAGAAATCAGGTTTGCATTCATTTTCTCTCTCTTTTCTCTCTCGTCTTTATCATTACATTTCATGCAATGATATATAGATTGCAATCATTTGCTTTGTTTTCGTTACTTAATCTGAACTGAAAATTATACGACATTTATTGGACTCTAGTTTTTTGTGCTCCAATTCAGACGAAATGACTTCCCATCCGTCGACGCATTGTTTGATAAATTAAAATACATTTGGTATTTGTCTAAAGAGTACGAGTCGTCCGCGCCTTTTGTCGGTATACTCACCACTGATAACAGGAAGATATGGGCCAACACCAGGAAACGGATGCTTTTGAGTAAGTCTCGAGTTTACGCAATAAAAGCTTAATAATTAATAATTATTTTTCAATAATTGCTAACAATTTTGAACCGAAATATCATTTTGTTAGGCGATATAAACAAGCAGTCTTTGAGATATCTGGAGACGTGTCTGTTTGTGGTCTGTCTCGACGATTGTGTCTCCACTAAAACCACGAGAAATCAGAGGCGAGACTCCATCCAAATGGCGCGAATGGATCCGACATACATGGCATCGACTCTATTGCATGGGTCCGGCAGTCAGTTCTATACACCCAACCGATGGTTTGATAAGATGTTGCAGGTTTTGTGAACGCATCATAATTACATCATTATTCACAAGCAATTTATTGAATTGCAAATTGAAATGTAATAGAAATTAAATCAAACAGATTATCATAGGAAAGGACGGCATACTTGGCATCATTAGCGAGCACTCGGTCTCCGAAGGAATGACTATTTTGCGCTTTTGCGAGCAATTAATTGATTATCTCGAAGAACATCCCTTTCATGGCAGCCATCAGCGCAAGGATTCTGCCAAAGGAATGCCTAATAAGAACTCAAATATTGCTTTACATAACGAAGTGTTTCCATTGCATTGGGATATCGACGATAACATCAGATTTCAATTGATTGAATCCACAAAACGTATTGATAAGTGAGTCTAGATTTTGGGTTTTAACATTCATATCATTCATATTTTTAAGTAAAAATAAAATTTTCGATAACATTGAGATGTATGAGAAAGTTATATGGTATAGGATTACTTATATCATGAAAGCTATTTTACATATTTTTACAATTTTATTTATTCGTTTAATTTAGCCTGTATTTTGATAACTACAATATTGACCTAAATTTTAAACTTTTCATTATGCAAATGAAATATTTATACATCTGTATAAATGTTAAAAATATATTGTATTCCCCGTAGACTGATATCAGATGTGGATCTCTATGTCCTTCAATTCAATGAGTTTGGCAAAGAGTTTGTGAAGGAGCAGAAGCTGAGCCCCGACGCCTTTGTGCAACTGGCCCTCCAATTGACATATTATAAAGTGCACCGAAAACTAGTGTCCACTTACGAGAGCGCGTCCATCCGTCACTACAAACTGGGACGAGTGGACAACATCCGTGCGGCCACTCTCGAGGCCCTCGCCTGGGCTAAGGCCATGTGCGACGAAATACCTGAGATTACGGTTTGTACCTCGCAATTATAAAAATTATTACTAAATTAAATAATAATTTACTAATAATTATGTGTATTAACCAGGAAAAGCATAAGACTGAGATGTTCCAGGTCGCAATGAAAAAGCAAATTGAGATTTTGAAATATGTTTGTATTGAATGCACACAAACTAGTGATGAATTTAATGTAGAATTTGATTTTACATTCAGACGGTCACCGGTCATGGCATCGATAATCACTTACTCGGCCTCAAAGAGATCAGTAAACTGAATGGCGGCGACACACCGGCGCTGTTCAAAGAGAAATCGTACAAAGAGTTCATAAACTTTCGACTGTCGACGAGTCAATTGGCCACCGAAAAGGGTGTGCTCGTGGGCTACGGGCCGGTAGTGCCCGACGGCTACGGGTGTTCGTATAATATTTGCAAAAATATGATCACATTCTGCATCAGCTCTTTCTTCAGCTCCTGTGAGACGAGTTCCGACTTCTTTGCCCTCAGTTTAGAGGGAAGTCTGCTTCAGATGCGGGAGCTTTGCGTCAAAATTAGTTCATTTCAAAAGTAATCTCCAGTAATAACTGTGTCTTTCAATATCCAGTGATTTATGCGAAACTGTTATCGAGTCTATTGACGGGAATTCATAGCAAATATTTATTAATTATTGTTAATTATAACAAATGGATAGTATTTTAAAGCAAACATAAAATGTTTAACTGAAAGATTTGTTTCATATATTGCCTCAAATTCTAGAGAAAGAAAATACAAACGAATTATTGATTTATTAATTGTTGATATATTTGTTGTAAACATTTGTTATTAGATATTAATTATAAGAATAATTTATTTAAAGTACAAATAATAGAGATTGTTTACTACTATGTTTTTGCTTTATATATGATATAAAAATTGTTATTTATTAAAGTAAATTATATTTAACTTATATTTTAAAAGTAGAGAAAAAGTATTTTATTTTATAAAATGTTTAAAAACTTGTGATAATTAGAGGGAAAGAAAGACTTCACTCACTCAATACGGTTGTGACGAAACCTGTATATAAGTTATCATATAATATATGATATAATATTATTATACTCAATATTATAAACATATCATTTGTGGTCATAATTAGCTTAGATTTGAATGACATATCAAATAATTTCCAAACTTCATCGTAATGCATAAAGGTATGGCTAAAAGTCCCTAAACTTTTCAAAGTTATCATACAATTCCTTTGGTGTTTGATTGATAAGTAAAATCCCAATTCATTTAGAGATAAATTGGCAAATGATGATCAAAATAATGTCCATAATATTAAATATTAAATTCTGTGAAGTAATTCATAAATTGTGAAAATTTACAATACCTGTGCATCTACATTATTGATTTACATATTTAGTTTCATAACATTATCCCTCACTTTGTTATCAATGAAAATATTCAAAATTAACACATCATTATATACTAGTAAGTTATTATTAATGAACCATCATGTCAATATTGTATATACTATATTACTACGGTAGAAATAATTTCAAAATAACATTATTATAGTATTATAATTAACCTTGAATTATATTAAACATATCAAACATTGGGTATATTAATATAATGCCAGTATTGTGTGTTTATAATGAATTCCATAGAAATTTAGGTAATTTTTAAATCTTTAATATTTAGTTCAAATTCATAGACAATTGCAATAAAGTCAATTTCATTACTTATTAGAAATGCCATTAAACATATCAGATAATTATGACATTAACAGTCTCAATGTTGAATAAAAATAATATTACCTGTAATTGTTATGGAATTCTATCTAAAGTTATGTGTTATGCTAAAATATAAAGTTATTATAATAAGCCTTAAATATAGTAAGTTAGAAATGGTTGCTTGTTAAATGTGTAGAAATTGTTTGAAATTTAAGATGGACTCTTAAAAATTAATTAGATAATTACATTACTTATTGAATTATATAGCAAAAAATAAGTATTAATAATAACAATTAAAGTAACAATTTTTGTTTGAAAATACACATTATTCATTATAAAAACACATACAGATTCCTATAATAATTTATTATTTAGAAACTCTAAATATTGTTCACTTTCATTTTGTATTGATATTTAATTTTGTTATATTACTTTACCTTAATATTTAAAGAATTACAGTGTAAAACAATATTATTAGATTATAGTTGTTTAATTTATGTTCAAATTCTGTTATTATTAAAAATTGTTATATTTATTTGAAGAATAAATAAAGCAATAATTTTATGTTGAATTTAAACTTTAAATGCTTAATAAAATAAAAACAAGTGGATTACAAGTGGAGAGAGAGAGAGAGAGAGAGAGAGAGACTTGTATATGAATCAATCCTAAGGTATTTCATGACAAAAGAAATGTAATTTAAAAAATGAATTACTTTTACTTTTCCATGAATGCATTGAAGTCTAAATCAAAGTTAAGAAATATTAACAAATTAAATTAATAAAACAACGAATAAATTAATACGAAATTATGATTATAAGTTATAATTTATAACTAGAGTAGCAAAAACAGGGCTAATTGTTTCGCGAGACCGATATTAATAACGATAAAAAGTTTAGTTTTGGGTTTTCATTCAAAAATAGCTGACCATTAGTTTCTAATTTCTAATTTAATGATGAATGCAACCAAAAAATTATAATTTTTGAAAATAAAATCCAAGTCTTTAATTATAACTAAGTTCACAGTTAAATAAATAAATTTTAAAACACAAAATATTGTATTATTGTCAATTATAACCGGTATCCTAACAATATTAATAATAAACTAAACTAAAGTTAATGCACAAATCTATTAATTGATTTTTAAATATATAGTTAAGCCCAACGGTTATAATAAATGACCATTTCTTAGACACTGTTGTGTAGACTCTTCTGAACATTTGACATTCAAATCCAAATGTTTGCAAAAAAATTATTATTTGTGAATCCAATGAATGTTTGGTCAAAAAGTGTGCAGAAGTTGAATCTCTCGACATTCAGTGATAATATCATCAAAAGAGTTGAATTCAAAACTTGCGGTCAATTGTATGAGAAGTTGAAGACAATTAATCCAAAACTTTATGCTAACAGTCCTCCCGATGGAC